GTGAAAAACACCCACTGAGGACTGGCCAGCCAGAAGCACATGTTCAGCCTGGCACAGGAGCCAATATCTGGTGGGTGTCTTGATGTAGATAGATACCCATTTTAGTGGACTTTGGGGAGCAGAGCAGAATGAGAGGATGTGCCTTGCTTCTTAACAAGCTGACCCCTTGCCGTGGTTCAACCCCAGTCGGCAGCTAAGCACTACCCAGCCACTTGCTCACCCTCCCCCCTGGTGGGATGGGGCAGAGAATCAGAAAAAAAAAAAAAAGGTAAAACCTGTGGGTTGAGATTAAGACAGTTTAATAGGACAGCAGAGGGAGAGAAAAAATAATAATAGTAATAGTAATAGTGATAAAAGAATATACAAAACAAGTGGGGCACAATGCAATTGCTCACTACATGCTGACTGATGCCCAGCCCATCCCCAAGCAGCGATCGTTGCCCCCCAGCCAACTCCCCCCAGTTTCTATACTGAGCATGACGCCATATGGTCTGGGATACCGCTTTGGCCAGTTGGGGTCAGCTGTCCTGGCTGTGCCCCCTCCCAGCTTCTTGGGCACCTGGCAGAGCAGGGGAAGCTGAAAAGTCCTTGACTGGTGTAAGCACTGCTCAGCAACAACTAAACCATCAGTGTCTCATCAACATTCTTCTCGTACTAAATCCAAACCGCAGTGCTATGACAGCTCCTAGGAAGAAAATTAACTCCATGCCAGCTGAAACTAGGACACCCCTCTTTGTTCCTTTTCTAAATGGAAAGGAAATTGCAGGCTGTTCACAGGAAAGAGCCTAGTGCCCTGTTTCTTAGCCAAATAACAGGCACTGTGTGTCGCTCCTTTAGAGCAACAAATAATATACTGTCTTGGATTAGCAGCAGCTAATTGGCGCACTCAATAGCAGGAGTGGATGTGCTCTTGAGTAATGATGTGTCTTGTGAGTCTTACGTATCTAGATATATCCATAGGTGTGCCGTAGGCTCACCTGGTCAGATCAGCGGTGCCTTAGTAGCTGAAAAATGGCATTATGTTAAATGACGGTACCCATCTTCTTCACAAACTGTCAGGATTGCATTGCGTGTCCTTCCAGTGCGCTACCTTGCTGCAGTGGTTGGTACGTGCTCTGAATACTGGGATCATTGCAAGATGGTGCATTACACTTGTGAGAAAAAAGGGAGCTCCATTACCAACTGTTTCCAGGGTTAACTGGGACTCTGGACCTCTACTGGAAGTCTGTCCACTGCCTGCCAGGGGTGAACTTTCCCAGAATAATAGCTATAGATAAATCTTTCCACAAACATGCACCCAGATAATTCTCAGGCCAGTGAGGACGGCCTCTGGTGTTCCAGCTTCTCTGGTAGTGTGTTGTGCTGGTTGATTCCTGGAACCGCCTCAGAAGCAGCAGGGCGTACAGCTGTTGCTCAAGGAAGAGCCTTTATGCTGCTACGCCTTTTCAACACTCAGAGTTGTCAGTGGGTGGCGTGAGTTTAGCAGCACCTTTTTTGAAAGGTGCTAGCTTCCATGAAGGTCTTAAGATCTGACCCCAAGTCTCTCTATTAATGCCTCATTGTTTATATTCTTGGTTTGGGGTTGGTTTTGGTGGGTTTTTTTTATTTTGGTGGGGTCTTTTTGGTTTTCAGTTGTAAAATGAATAAATACATCTGCACTAGTACACACCTTAGCTACAGAAAAACTGGCACTGAGTTTATTCACCCAACTGATTGCTCGTGTATTGGTAGCAGTTAGGACTGGCAATGTCCTGTAGGAGAATGACTGCCTACTGGGACACTGGAGGTGGTTCCCCCTAAATATGCCGTACTTGCACATCAGGTCAGACAGTATGCATTTATGCAGAGCCCTAAACGCAATCCTTTTCATACGTTGGCTTTTCGAGTGCAGTGGGCCACTCAATTTTACCAGTGTTGCTTTCCCTCTGTGAAGACCTCCCATGAGCAACGGGGGATGAAGTGAGGCTATTGACCACATCCAGTAGTCGAGGAACGAGGCAAAAATCAGTGTTTGAGGACATCATCTCTGCTCATCAGTATCTAAGAGGAGAGGAAGTGTTTAACGATCCTTCTTTTGAGAGGTTAAACGTTTTTTTCTAGCTGCTTCTTGTAATACATGCTTTTCATTTGCTTTCATCATCTTAGTAGCCATTCTTCATACCAGCTTCACTTTGAATTCTCCTGCTCTAATCAGTAGGGTGCGGTTCCCATGGCCGGCCGTATTTACATTACTGATGCCTGTGCCTGCGCTAGCTGTGTTAACTTACTCTGCTGTCAAGCATCACTTCTTTCCCTGATCTTCACAGAAACATCTAAAATAAATACTTTACAATGGGAGTGTAGAGCATCAAGTTCCGAGGCAGGCATCTGTGCTAGCCACGTCTGGCATTAGGATCCTGAGAGGGATCACTGCTGCCAGTGACAGTAGCGCTTACCTGCCTTTGCTTTGGAAATACTGCAAAAAATCATCCCAGGATTACTTTTTCCCCCTGTAGTTTCTAACAGATACAAACTGCAGCAATTCCTAATGTATTTTCTTTCAAGACAGATGTTCTTCTTCCTCTGTAGCAGAAATTAACTTCATTTTCTGCTATTAAGTCTTCTGCTGTTAAATTTTTGTCTGTTTCTATTATTTCATCCCTCGATGGCAACAAGGCGCCATGGGTAGGCAGGCTGCAAATACAGGAGTAACCGCTTGGCAGTGGAGCTGTGGGAAGTGAACGAGTCAATTCTCAGCGGGAAATAAATCAGTACTTTAAGCTACCTCAGTGGTAACTCTGTAAGCCTCAGCCACCCAGTCTCCTGCTGCTCTCTATCCGTGACCTTAGATGACTTTCAGGACTGAACTATCTGCAATTGTCTGTCTGTGTCTCAGCTCATCTACACAGTATTCCTGTCTTCTCTTATTGACAGTATTTCCCACTGCTGTCATCAACATATTCCAGTACATCTCCCTAATTTTGTGCTCCGCAAAGATATTGCTGTGTAATGCAACAATATGACTAACGTTGTTCCTGTTCCTTGCCTGCCTTATCATCTTAAAATTCATTAACCACCTTCACATCCCTCCTTAACACTGCGCTTTGCTGCAACGCCTACAAAAATTTGGAAACAATCTGACTGTGAGTGAGCTGAGAACATTGCCTCGCATGCCAAGCGATGTATTCTCTTTGTTTCCCTGTCCTCCTCCATCTGTTGGCATCCATCTGCCTCCCCACGGACTGTAGGCTCTTTGGGGCAGGACCATCTCTTTCTTCTGTCAGCTGACAGTGCCCAATCCCGTTACCCCTACAGAGCTGGTGGTTTAGTTATGTCTATTTAGGCAAAATTCCTTTTAGTTTAGCTTCAACTGTTAGGTAATATACAGGATGATTTGTGAGGATGTACTCTTAGATCTAGTAGCTGTTGAAGTCAAAAAGCCCAGGATTAGTCATACGGTTGTGTGTAGGGGAAGATTTGCTGTTTTGTTTTCTTTTTATGGTTTGTTTTATTTGTTTGCCTTCAGTGGCAGCACTTTGTGTTTACTCCTGTCCCGCACCAAGAGCCACAGTGGAAGCCATGGGTAGGTTCAGAATCCTGCCCATATCCCTCCACCCTGGCTTCTTTTAAGGATGACGAATTTTGGAAAGTACTGCTTTAGTTAAATATCAGAATTATTTTCAAAATTATGACTTCAAAATAATACATTTTGCTATTGTTGTCCAGATACAGAATGAAAATTGTGTATGCTTTACAGGAAACCCTCTTTTAAAATGCTCCCCCTGTGTCAATGTGGAAGGCCTGGAGTAAATCAAGCTTCATGACCCTCAAAGCCAGTGGAGTGTCTTGCTTTAAACCAGTTTATTGTTCAGAAATGCAGCTGCACATAGGCAATGCCCTGCAGTGTTCTACCTGCAACCTCCCACCATCAAATAGGAGCAACGACTGTTAGGAGGCATCAGCTCCAACTGCTGGAGCACGCGGTGGGTAACACGTAACCAATGCCCATAAGCACGCACGCTTGCCACCGCGTTGCCTTGCCCTTCGTGCTGCCGGAGCTGCCTGTCTGCAGGCGTGCAGCCTGCCCTCCCCGGGCAGCGGGGGGTGCCCATCACCCCAGCCACCCCTGGGGCAGGATTTTCCCCTCCTTGGTCTCATGTTCCTCCTCTCATGCTGTCATTCCCATGGCCTTGCCCCCGCAAAGCCGGTCATGTGGCTGTGGCGGGTTCTCGTAGGAAGCGACTGCCGTCAGCAGGAGAATCACCTGCCTTTCCCCCACTCCTCCTGCCATTGCTTGGGGCCCAAATAATAGGTTTGCATGGGTGCAGCAGTCGGTCAGCACACACCAGCCCCAGCCAGCACGCACCAGTCAGCGATAACAGCATCACAAGCAGGAACGACTGACAGCAGTTTGAGCAGGTCCCAATGAGACTTGCGTACTTTCTGCAAGGGACGTTCTGGGGCGACCCTGCTGCACTGGAGGGGGGCCCTGGGGAGGCTGCTTTCCTGAGGACCCCCATCACTTCTCTTCCCATGGGCCTCTGAGGAGTTTTCCCATTTCCTCTTTTCTATTTTCTTTCTCTCCCCCCTCCCCTCCACTCCCCCTTCCTCTTTGGTTTCCATTTTACACCGAAAGCAACGCTCCATGTTAGGCTCCATGCCTGCCATCAGCTGCAGGTGGATCCTTGTGCCCATGAACCTGCCTGGACATCCTTTGCGTACCAGCCACGTGTTGGCTGCAGCTCCCTGGTCTGGGCTGCCATGCAGGTGTAAGTGAGACCGCTCTCCCAAGCTGCCGCGGCCTGTGGTTTAACTCACACACCCTACCAGCTCCCCCGCTCCTCCCTCCCTCCCTCTGCCTCGTCATGGCTACAAAGATTTTTAGAAATAGGGTTGAGAAATAAGAAAGCAGAGGGAAAATAGCATCTCTAAACATATGCAATGGATTGCGGTAGGGGTGGGAGCCAGGGCCTCTCGGGCGCCACAGGCCATTGCTATTCTGGCAGCTGTGAGGGTCCGCGATGGCAAGAACCGACCGGCAGAAGAGAGCAGTACGGGTCCCTTCTCTGAAGAGACATTTCCGGTGCTAAAGCTGAAGTGCTGGTCTAGAGGGAAATGCTGATATAGCTGCCCTTTCATCAGGATAAAAGTAAACATACTGGAAAGTAGCTGGGAAAGCGAGCTAGAAAATAGGAATCACTGTATAGAGTACAGGTTGCAAGGACAACTGGAAAGTTGAGCCTGATTTTAGGAGATAACATATTTAAGGATGTAAAAGTGAATTCAGAATGATGGGAGAAGCAGCTGTCTGTGAAAGGGCACATAGAGAAAGCAACAAGTCCACGAACGATAAGTTTGTAAGTTTGCAGATGACACCAAACTGGGTGGGACTGTTGATCTGCTTGAGGGTAGGGAGGCTCTACAGAGGGACCTGGTCACGCTGGATTGATGGTCCAAGGCCAATTGTAGGAGGTTCAACAAGGCCAAGTGCCAGGTCCTGCACTTGGGTCACAACAACCCCATGCAACGCTACAGGCTTGGGGAAGAGTGGCTGGAAAGCTGCCTGGTGGAAAAGGACCTGGGGGTACTGGTTGACAGACGGCTGAATGTGAGCCAGCAGTGTGCCCAGGTGGCCAAGAAGGCTGACAGCATCCTGGCTTGTATCAGGAATAGTGTGGCCAGCAGGAGTAAGGAAGTGATCGTGCCCCTGTACTCAGTGCTGGTGAGGCCGCACCTTGAATACTGTGTTCAGTTTTGGGCTCCACACTACAAGAAAGATGTTGCGTTGCTGGAACACGTCCAAGGGGGGACGGGCCGGCCTCTTCTCCCAAGTAGCAAGTGATAGGATGAGGAGACATGGCCTCAAGTTGTGCCAGGGGAGGTTTAGGTTGGATATTAGGAGAAATTTCTTTACCAAAAGGGTTGTTAAGCGTTGGAATGGGCTGCCCAGGGAAGTGGTCGAATTCCCATCCCTGGGGATTTAAAAGGCAGGCAGATGAGGTGCTTAGGGACATGGTTTAGTGGTGCGATGGCAGGGTTAGATTAACGGTTGGACTTGATGATCTTAAAGGTCTTTTCCAATCTAAACGATTCTATGATTCTATGATTACAGTGTAGTTTCAGCCTAAATATTTGTGGCATCTGTATTGGAGTGGTCAATAGCACGGGCTTGGTGTGGACCACAAAACCTAGTGAAAAAAGAGGGGTCTGAGCCCCATGCTGCCATGCTTGCCCTGCTGCTTGCCACCGAGCTGTGCTGGACAATGCTAACATGAGTGTCCCTGCAGCGTACTCCAGAGAGGCAGGGATGTGCTCGCGGGCAGCACAGGCAGCACAAATTGCTTTTCTGGGAGTGCCAGCCAAAGAGGGGCTTCTAACGCTGTGAAAAGAAGTTCCTGTT